GGAGACATGTTTAGTTCATCAAGCAGTTTATTCACACAATGAAACTTTCAGTGACTTTAGTGACAAATCACAGTCAGAGTCGGTATCTCTTAAATCCGCCGCTCTCACTCAAATTTCCCCACTATTCTTCACTGTGCTCATGCTTATCAGCTCAGCTTGAAAGACACTAAAAAGTTCTCCCTACACCAGCCCTGCTCTCACCATGCGGCCAGGTCTCAGGCCCTCCTCTTTCAGTCCCCAAAGTGAACGTCTTGGTGACAAATGCCTTACCGCTTTATAACCACCTAAACACCACCTTGTCAACCCACTGGGCTCCCAACAGACAAGAGCTGGTGTCCATCATTGGGAGGAGGTCTGATTGACAAAGTTAACAAAGCTCACTCACTCGGCCAATGATCCTTACAGCATGTGGCCCGGCTCCTCACGGCCTGAACAGCAGTCACTTGCACTGTTAGAATGCTTTCTGTCAACAGGCCTGGTAAACCTGAGCCATGGATTGGAAAGCCCGAGCAATTGCAATACTAACTTGGCTGTTTGAAGGCGTGGATTGAGCTCTGTGTGGCCTCAGTCACGAAACCAGAGTAGAAGAGAGGCCTATAGGGTGCAGGAGTCGACCCAGGGAGCTGCAATACTGGGGTGTGAGGGAGGGAGGAAAGGGTGATTACCAAAGTTGCCAACCCGTCCATTCCCTCTGCTCGGCGAACACTGGCTTCCTCCCTATTCCCCGCCCTGTCCACTCCACTATCAGCGTTCAGACCTTCAGCCTCTCTGCCCACACTCTCTGGAACTCCATTCTGGAGCCCCACCACCTTGGCCCACCATTGCCTCCTTCAAAGCCCATCTCAAAGAACGCCCTTTTTCATGTGATTTCCATCATCCTCCCTTCCCAATTTTCTGCCCTCCTCCCCTCTGCTGGTCACAACTGCTAGTTCTGGTGCAATCCCCTCATTGTACATCTCCTTTGGACTTACTCCTAATGTGGAAGCGGCTGCAAATACCATGTTTTGCTGTTGTTGCCGCAGAGACTGCGTGCCACTCGAACCTTGCAACCCCTTTCCTGTCAAGCTCTTAGACATTACCATTCGGTCTGGTCCAACTTTTTGGCTGCCGTGGGCTTCTTTCAGATTTGGTAAATGTCCGCGTGCTACATCCAGCTTGGCCAACTGGCCGCCCGTGCGCCACATCAGGCACTCTTGTGATTTATCATTACCCGAGACCATTCCCAACATTTCAGCTTCCACTGCGGCCTCTCTGGTGAAAATCATCCCAGGGCAGTTTCAGGAGTCGGCGCATGGGGGGGGGGGGGGGGGGGGGGAGAGGAATGACTGAGGGGAAGGAGAGAGGGACTTGAGCAAGGATGGAGAGTAAAGATTAAGGGAGGCGAAGGAGCAAGTGAAGGTGGTAGGCAGGGAGAGGTAGGAGGCTGAGTAAGGAGGTAGGGAAAGAAAACAGGGAAGGAAGATAAAGGAGGGAGATAAAGGAGTGATGGAAGGGAAGGAGGGAAAGACGAGGGGAGGTAAGGAGTGAGATGGTATGGAGTGCAGGAGGGTGGAGGGAAGGAGGGAGGGAAAGGAGGTAGGGAGGGAAGCGGAGGCAATCAGGGAGAGTAATAAGGGAAGGGTGGAAGTGAGGAGAAGAAGGAGAGAAAGGAGGGAGGGAGAGGAAGGATGGAGAGCAAGGAGGAAGTGAGAGGAAGGAGTGTGTGAGAGGCAGGATGAAGAGGAAGGAGCGAGAGGAAGGAAGATGTGAGAAGAATAAGGGAGTGAAAGAATGGAGGGAAGGAGAAGGAGGAAGGAGAGAGGGAGCAGTAGGAGTGAGGGAGGGCGGGAGGGAGGAAGGGAGTGGCGGAGGTGAAGTTGGAATGATCGAAATGGTTGCGGAGTGGGAATAATTCATCACCCATCACCCCACCTCCTCTCGGGCACACCCATCCCGGCATCATCCCACGGGTCACCTGATGGACAACACGTGAATTAATAAAAATATCAGCTGTTTGATGACCTTGTCAGCTGTGCAAATGTGTCTGATCCTGTTCCCAGCGCCTTGGGACTTGCTTCCCTCGTTAAAGGCTCCTGTATATATATGTCAATGTGTATTGTGTTGTTACACTATATTCCCTGTGTTTGTGTCTCTGTGTCCAGGCTGGAGAGCAATAATCTGGGAGATTGTGGAGTGAAGCCACTGTGTGAGGCTCTGAGGAAAACGGAGTGTAAAATACAGAGTCTGAAGTAAGTAACGCACTGTGTCTCCAGAGTCTGAATGACTCGAATATCTTAATGCGTTCATTGTGACTGTCTGATCAGTGCGGCTGAATATTATGGAAGGAATCGGTATGACAGTGTGAGGCCACAAACCATCGTTTACATCAAACTCTCAACATGTATTAATAAGAAACCATGTACCAGAAACCCCAGCTCTAGTGACATGAGGACAGCTCCGACCCCTAAACTGGTTCCAAGCCCCAAACCCTCTCCCATTGTATCTAATCCCGAAGCTCCTGCCCTGGTCCCGTCAATCCCTCCACACTGTGGGTTTGTAGTTCTCTACTATTGCCAGCCGTGTGTCTGACACACACAGAAACCTGTCCTCAGGCTTCAAACTCTCCAAACCAACCTCCTGACAGCTCCACATCTGACTGGAAATTAGTGTGTGTGGAATGGGGTGTAATCGAGTCACATTTTCTCCAGGACAGGGGCAGCGTTCGATCTACTGAGCGACTTTCAAGATAAATTGTGTACTAATCTAGATGCATCCTCCATGGGAGTCTATTTTTGCATTTGTGTTTATGCATGTCTATGTTTCTGTGAATATGTGTGTGTGTGTGTTTCTGCGGATGTGTCTGTGTGGCTTTTCTTTGTAAGTTCCTGTGTGTGGTGTGTGTCTGTGTGTCGGTGTGTGTTTGTGCGTCTTTTTTCTGTGTGTAGCTGTGTCTGCTTCTCTGCATGTGTTTCTGTGTGTATGTTTGCACGTTTGTAGGTGTGTGCTGTATTTAAGTGTTTGTGTGTTTACCTGTGTTTGTGTGCGGTGTTTTATAGGTGTTTGTTTGTTGGTGTGTATGTGTAGGTATGTATGTTTGTTTGTATGTGTGTGTGTTTATGTGTGTGAACGTGTGTGTCTGTCTGTGTGTATGCGTATGCATGTGTGTACGTATAAGTGTGATGTGTGTTTTTTATTTGTTTGTACATGCGTGTCTGTTTGTGTGCTCTGTGTATGCATTTGTGTATTTGTGTGTGTGTTTGTGTACACGTATGTGTATTGGTGTGTGCATATATATGTGTGTGTCGTTGTTATTGCATGTCTGTGTACATGCGCGTGTCTGTTTGTGTATTGTGTATGTATGTGTGTACGTTTGTGTGTGTATGTGTGTTTGTGTGTAGGCGCATGTATGTGTGTATGAATATGTGTATGTTTGCTCTTGCAAATCTCTCAAAGCCAGTCAGGAACCTTGGGGTTCTGTTCGACCCTGAGCTATCCTTTCTCCCTCATATCAGCGCCACAACTGGCAACGCTTTCCATCACCTCCGGAATATCGCTGCTGAAACTCTGGTCCACGCCTTTATCACCTCAAGGCTGGACTAAGGGAACTCTCTCCTCGCGGCCTCGACTGTCCAGCACCAGACACCGCGACGACATCACTCCCACGCTCGCTCCCCTCCACTGGCTCCACATCCCCCGGAGGATCGAATTCAAGATCCTTATCCTCACCTACAAGGCCATTCACTGCCTCGCTCTCTCCTATCTCTCCAACCTACTATCCCCCTACTTACCTGCGCGTACCCTCCGTTCCTCTGGCTCCGGTCTGCTCCACATACCCCGCCCCAACCGCCCTGCCATCGGTGGTCGGGCCTTCAGCCTCTTAGCCCCGAGGCTCTGGAACTCTGTCCCCCAGTGCCTTCGCCGCTTCCTCCCTTTCCTCCTTCAAGACCGGTCTCAAGACCTTTCTCTTTGACCGTATATTCAGCTCCCCTCTCGACTCTCTACCCCCTCCTCCCCCCCTCCCTTCCCTCCCCTCACCCTGACCATCTCCCCCTTCCTCGCTCCCTTCCCTCACTCTGACTATCTCCCCCCAATGCTCGGGTCCTGACCCAACTGTAGAGCGCCTTGGGACGTCCTTCCGACGTGAAAGGTGCTCTATAAATGGAATCTTATTGTTGTTGTTGTGTGTACCTGCGTAATTGTGTGCGTGTATGTTTGTGTGTCTGTTTGTGAGTTTGTGTGCGAGTGCGTGCACTGATCCAACCTGTCCGGCTCAGACATGCATGATGTTGGCCTTCCACGAGAGAGAGACTGAGCGAGAGAGAGAATGACTGTGAGAGAGAGATTGAGAGAAATAGAGAGACTGTGTGAGAGAATATGTTATAACGTGTAGTGACTGTGTGGTTTGTGAGATAGGTAGATATAGACTGGGAGAGAGAGAGAAGACTGAGAGAGAGAATGGTAGCCACGAGGAGAGAGAGTCTGCGTGAGAGTGTGAAAGACGCAGAAGGGGAATGAGCGAGACAGCGAAAGACAATATATTATAAAATATAGTGAATGTTTTGTGGGAGAGAGACGGCGAGAGAAACAGACTGAGACAGAAGTTGAGAGACAGAGAGAGTTTGAAAGAAAGACAGAATGACGAAGTTAGAGAGAGAGATTGAGAGGACAAAGAGATTGGGAGACAGAAAGAACGAGACTGATAGAGAGTATATATTATAAAGGCGTGTGACTGTGTTTTGCGGAAGAGACAGAAAGACACTCTGACAAAGTGATTGCGAAATATTGAGAGAGAGACAGTGGAGAGAATACATTAAATGTAGTGGCTGTATTTTGCGGGAGATACAGAGAGAGAGAGAATGAGAGAGAGTGTCTGAGAGAAAGAGCGAGAGAAAGAGAAAGTCGGATAGAGAGAGAGAAATAGAGAGATAGACTGTGATGTGTGTACACGTGGGCTCTCTGACCCTGGACCCAGCGCCTTGGGACTTGCTCCCCACGTGAAAGGCTCCTGTATATACATGTCAATGTGTATTGTGTTGGTACACCATATTCCCTGTGTTTGTGTCCCTGTGTCCAGGTTGGGGTACAATAATCTGGGAGATTGTGGAGTGAAGCGACTGTGTGAGGCTCTGAGGAACCCGGAGTGTAAAATACAGAGTCTGTGGTAAGTAACGCACTGTGTCTCCAGAGTCTGAATGACTCCAATATCTCAATGTGTTTATTGTGACTGTCTGATCAGTGCGGCTGAATATTGTGACAGGAATCGGTGTGACAGTGTGAGGCCACAAACCATCGTTTACATAAAACTCTCAACATGGATTAATGTGTGTGTCTCTGTCTATGTGTGTGTGTCTGTGTGCACGTGTGTGTGTGTGTATGTGTGTTGGTGGGTGTGTGTATTTGTGGGTGTCTGTGTGTTTGTGTCGTGTGTGTGTCCGTGTGTGTCTGCATTTGTGTCTTTTGATTCTGTGTTTGTTGCTGTGTGTGTTTGTGTACATTTGTGATTGTGTATTTGTGTGTTTTTGTGTGTGTTTCTAAGTGTGTGTGTGTCTTTGTGTGTGTTTCTGTGTTTGTGTGTGTCTTTGTGTGTGTTTCTGTGTGTGTCTATGTGTCTCTGTAATTCTGTGTGTGTGGGTGTATTTCTATTTGTGTGCTTCTGTTTTGTGTGCGTGTTTGTGTGCCTGTGTGGGCTTTTGTGTGTTTATGTTTGCTGAGCTTGTGTGTTTTTGTGTGTGTTTATGTATGTGTGCACCGTGTTTGTTTCTGTGTAGTTTGTGTGTACGTGTGTATGTGTGTGTTTGTATGTTTGCTTCGATGTACTTCTCTATGTGCGCGTTTGTGAGTGTGTGATTTTGTGCTTGTTTCTGTGTGTTTGCGTTTGTATGTTTGTATGTGTGTTATTTTGCGCGTGTGCGTTTTTGTGTGTGTATTTTTTGTGTTTTTGGGTTTGTTGGTGTGATTTTGTGTTTGTATCTGTTTATCTGTTTTTAAGTGTTGTTTGTGTGTGTTTATGCTTGTTTCTTGTGTTTGTTTCGTGTGAGTTTCTGTGATTGTTTGTGTGTTTCTGTGTGTGTGTGATTGTATGTATCTGTGTGTGAATGTGTATTTATGTTTGTGAATTTGTTTTTGTGCATGGTTGCGTGTTCCTCTCTGTGTGTATTTTTGTTCGTGTTTGTTTGTGCGTATGGCTGTGTTTGTGTGTATGTGTGCGCTTGTGTATGTGCTTGTGTATGTTTGTTTGTGTATACGTATGTGTTTGCATGTCTGTGTTGGAGTATATTTGTGTGTGTTTTTGCGTTTCTTAGTGTTTGCATGTTTATATGTGTATTTGTGTGTTTTCCTGTCTGTGTTTGCGTTTGTGTGTGTGTGTGTTTGTGCGTATATGTTTGTGTGCATTTATATGTGTGTCAGTTTGTTTGTATGTTTCTTTGCTTGTGTCAATGTGCGTGTACATATATCTATGTGTGTGTTTCTCTGTGTGTTTGCGTGTGTGTGTTTGTGTGTGGATGTGTTGGCATGTGTGTGTTTGTGTTTGTGCTTTTGTTTGTGTGTGTTTTTGCGTATCCGTGTGTGTTTGTGTGTGTGTGTGTGTCTGAGTGTGTATTTTCTGTGTGTGTTTGTTGGTATGTGTTTCGTATGTGTCTGTGTGCTTGTGTGTATGTGTGCTTGTGTTTGTTCTTGTGAGTGCGTTTTCGCGTGTGTGTTTGTGTGTGCGTTTATGAATGTCTGTGTGTGTTTGTGTGCATTTTGAGTGGGCGTTTGTATGTGTATTTGTGGGTTTTTAAGTGTGTGACTGTATATCTTTATGTGCGATTCTGTGTGTGTTAGCGTGTTTCTGTGTGTTTGTGTGTGCATGTGCGTGTGCATTTGTGAATTTGTTTTTGTGTATGCTTATTTATTTATCTATGTGGTTATTTGTGTTCTTGTGTCTGTTTGTTTGTGCATGTCTGTATGTGTGTTTGCATGTGTGTGATTGTGTGAGCGTTTGTGAGTGTGTTTGTATCTGCGTACGTGTGTGTTCATGCGTGAATGTTTATGTTTTTGTTTTGGGATGTGTATTTGCGTATGTGTGTCTGTTTGTTTGTTTGTGTGTGAATATTTGTTGTGTGTGTGTATTTGTTTGTGCGTGCGTGTATGTTTGTGTATGCGTGGGTGTTTATGTTTATTTTTGCGCGCTTGTGTGTTCTTGTGTGTATGGTTGTGTGTTTGCTTGTATGTTTATTTGTATGTTTGTGTGCATGTGTGTGTGTGCATTTGTATGCATATTTTTGTGTTCGCGCATGTGTGTGTAAGCTTGATAGTGTGTATGTGTGTGTTTTTGTGTGTGGGCTTCGGTGTGATTGTATGTTGCGTTATGTCTGCGGATTCTTCAATTTTTTTGTGTGCGTCTGCCTGTCTGTTTTACGTTTTGTGTTTGTGTGTGCATGCTGTTTGTTTGTGTATGTGTGTCATGTTTTTATTTGTGTGGAAGTGTGTCTGTGTGTTTGCATGTCTGTGATTCTGTGTTTGTTTTGGTGCGTGCATGTGTGTGTGCATCTGTGTGTTTGGGTGTGCTTGTGTGTTTCTGAGTATGTGTTTGCGCGTGTGGTGTGTGTTTGTGTGTGCTATTGTGTTTGTGCATATTTATGCGTTCGTGTGTATATGTTTGTGTATCTGTGCATGTGTTTTTGTGTGAGTGTACTATTGGTGTGTTTGTGTGTGCGCGTTTGTGTGCACTTGTGTGTGTAAACTTGTCTTTGTGTGTATTTGTCTGTGGGTCAGGTCATGTGTTTGTTTGTGCGCATGTGTATGTGTGCGGTTGAGTGCGTTTGTGAAGTTGTGTGTGCGCATCTCTGTCTACGTAGGCACGTGTGCGTGTTTGTATGTGTGTGCGCTCTGCTGAAAACTGTCCGGCATCAAACAAACTTTGAGTGACAGTGGGTTACACACACTGTGTTAACTCTGATCCCTGTTATGTCTCTGTGTCTCTGATCTCCAGGTTGGACAGTAACCATCTGACAGCTGATTGTACCGAGGATCTGACCTCCGCTCTCAGCACAAACCACTCACTGACGGAGCTGAACCTGAGTGATAATAAACTGGGAGATTGTGGAGTGAAGCGACTGTGTGAGGCTCTGAGGAACTCGGAGTAGAAAATACAGAGTCTGTGGTAAGTAACACTGTGTCTCCAGAGTCTGAATGACTCCAATATGTGTTTATTGTGACTGTCTGATCAGTGCGGCTGAATATTGTGACAGAAATCGCTGTGACAGTGTGAGGCCACACCCCAACTTTTATATCAAACTCTCAACATGTAATCGTAAGAAACCATAGAGTCATATAATCATACAGCACAAAAAGGCCATTCGGCCCAACGAATCTCTTTCAGAAGAGCAATGTAATGTCAATCCCACTCCCCAGCCCATCCGAATAACTATGTAAATCCATCCTCCTCAAATATCCGCCCACCACGTTTTTAAAAGTTGTTGCCGAATCGTTTCAGGCAATGAGTTCCAGATTCGAACAACTCGCGTCGTGAAAAACAAATGCAAGGATTATTATATTGCTATTTTGTACAACTTGCATTCTTATAAATTCTAACAAAGGATAATAAGTTATATTGTTTCTCAATGACGGGAGAGGGAGAGAAGGACTTGAGTCCTTATAAGTCAGATGGAATAGGGATCCTTAACATAGGTTGTACATATATAGAAAGAAGGGCTAAGTACAGGGTTATGAAAATGGGGAGGGTTGCAGAAGTTAGATGCATAGTACTTGTAGTCATCTAACCATGTGCTGGAAACCTCAGCTCTGGTGAGACAGTCACAGCTCCGACCCCTAAACTGGCTCCAAGCCCCAAACCCGCTCCCATTGTATCTAATCCCGAAGCTCCTGCCCTGGTCCCGTCAATCCCTCCACACACTGTGGGTTTGTAGTTCTCTACTACTGTCAGCCGTGTGTCTGACACACACACAAACCTGTCATCAGGCTTCAAACTCTCCAAACCAACCTCCTGACAGTTCCACATCTGACTGGAGACTTGTGTGTGTGGAATGGAGGCACAGGGCAGGGGAAGGTTTTGATCCACTGCGGGACTTTCAAGATGAAATCTGTGCGAATCTAGAAGCAGCCTCACTGGGAGCTCGGAGCAGTACTGAGCAGTGTGTGTTTGTGTATTGGTATCTGTATTTATGCACGTTGTGTTTCTGGGTATGCGTTCGTCAGCTTCCATGTTTTTCTATTTGTGGTATTTATGTATATATTCTGTGTGTGCTTGTGTGTGGGAGTGTGCGATGTATGTATGTGTTGTTTGTTTGTGTGTGTGTCGATGTGTGTTTGCGTGTGTTTCTGTGTGTGTTTGTGCCTTTGTATGTGTGTGATTGAGTGTGGTGGGTTTGGTTATGTTTTTGTGCGTGTATGTGTGTATGCTTGCATATGTGTTTGTCTATTGTTGTGTATTTGTGTGTGTTGGTAAGTTTCTGCATACATGTGTTTATGTACGTGTGTGTGCGTGTTTGTTTTTGTATGTTTGTGTACATGCGTGTGTTTGGTGTGTTTGTGTATCATATGTGAGGGTGTGCGCATTCCTGTAACCAGTCCGGCTCAGACATGCATGATGTTGAGGCTTCCTCCTTAATCCTGGGACGTTTAACTCACTCAGCTCAATGATTCCATCCATATTGCCAACTGGCTTTGGCTCCCGGATGCAAAATTTTGGGGAAATATTTATGTCCTGAGGTAGTTTTTTGTTGGTATGGTTACAGTCGAAACATCTGAACAAAACCTCACCCAGAATAACGTCTATCCAGCTTCAGCCCTGATTTAGTCTGTGTCTGCTCACACACTGCAGTCTGAGCCCTGTAGCTCAGTGGTTAGAGCCCTCGCCTCGCGAGCGAGAGGGTCTGAGGGTGATTCCTGGCAAAGCAAAACCTTACGGATGTTTCCTTACTCCACTCGTGTCTGTTTGCCACACAGTCAATCACAATATGGTTGTTAGACGGCTCGCAGTTCACTTTTCAGGGTTCATAATTCCTTCAAAAAATATTTCGCACGAAATATATACAATCAGTTCTCTTTACAATGTATCCTTTGAAAACTCTGAGGCGTCTCCAACACATGATGAGGCGCTGTATCAAATGCAAGGATTATTATTACATAATATATTATATCTGGATATTGTGAAAACCTTCTGAGGTCCCCTCGCTGGGGGCAGGGTCTGTCTGAGGGTCATTTCCATCTCTGTATCCGCTTGTGGACTCTATTGCCTCTTCCTTCTGTGGGAGACGGCCTGTAGTGGGTGACAGTGGGTTATACCCACAGTGTTTACTCTGATCCCTGTCATGTCTCTATGTCTCTGATCTCCAGGTTGGACAGTAACAGTCTGACCGATGGCTGCACTGATGATGTGGTCTCCGCTCTCAGTACAAACCGCTCACTGAGGTTCCTGTACCTGAGGTCTAACTCCTTCACAGACGGCTCTGTCTCCGCTCTCCGCCGCCTCATACAGACCTGCACCAGTCTGGGAGGGATCGGGTGAGTGTCTGTGTCAGCGTTTAATGTGATAAACACACAGAGAAAGGGCTGTGTATCAGAATGGGAACAGTTTGAAGGGATTTATTTATTCATTAAACTGCGACGTGAACAGTTTACAGTTTGTACCATTATCCCATGGGTTTATTTCCTGTTTAATGTGTTTCAGGCTGTGGGGGAATGGGTTCAGTTCAGACGGAGAGAATCAGCTGAAGTCACTGCGGGGAATCAGAGCTGAGCTGTTAGTGGATGTGTGACACTGACTGAGGCAGTGACTGTCCACACAGTCTGTGTAATATGGAATATATTCTGGACACTGTAGTGACTGATTATTAAAGATGTTGATCCTGATTCTTCTCACATCTCTGCTCTGGGGACCGTTATTGACACACACCGCCTACGGCCGTGCGGGCGGCTGGAGAGCCCCGACCCTCAGTCACTGCTAAACTGCTGTAAGCGACCACAACTGATGCACTTTCTCTCACAGTCTCTCTCTCTCTCTCTCTCTCTGTCAGTCCCTCTCAGTTTATATATTTCCGTCTCCCTATTTCAGGCTCTCTCTTAGTCTCCGTCTGTGTGTGTGTGTGTTTGTGTATGTGAGAGCAGTCAATGTGTGTGTTTGAGAGCAGTCAGTGTGTGTGAGAGCAGTCAGTGTGTGTGTGTCGGAGAGCAGTCAGTGAGTGTGTGTCTGGGAGTGCAGTCAGTGTGTGTGTGAGAGAGGGCAGTCAGTGTGTGTGTGAGCAGTCAGTGTGTCTGAGAGAGCAGTCAGTGTGTGTGTGTGTGTGAGAGAGAGCAGTCAGTGTGTGTGTGTGTGTGTGAGCAGTCAGTGTGTGTGTGTGAGAGCAGTTAGTGTGTGTGTGAGAGAGCAGTTAGTGTGTGTGTGTGTGTGTGTGAGTAGTCATATGTGTGTGTGTGAGCAGTCACTGTGTGTGTGTGAGAGCAGTCAGTATGTGTGTGTGTGTGAGAGAGCAGTCAGTGTGTGTGAGAGCAATCAGCATGTGTGTGTGTGTGTGAGATCAGTCAGTCTGTGTGTGTGAGAGAGCAGTCAATATATGTGTGAGCAGTCAGTGTGTGTGTTTGCGAGAGAGATCAGTCAGTGTGAGTGTGAGAGAGCAATCAGTGTGTGTGTGTGTATGTGAGAGCAGTCAGTGTGTGTGTGTATGTGAGAGCAGTCAGTGTGTGTGTGTTTGTGAGAGCAGTCAGTGTGTATGTGTGAGAGAGCAGTCAATGTATATGTGAGCAGTCAGTGTGTGTGTGTGCGAGAGAGAGCAGTCAGTGTGTCTGTGAGAGAGCAGTCAGTGTGTGTGTCTATGTGAGAGCAGTCAGTGTGTGTGTGTATGTGAGAGCAGTCGGTGTGTGTGTTTGAGAGCAGTCAGTGTGTGTGTGTGAGAGCAGTCAGTGTGTTTGTGGGAGAGCAGTCAGTATGTGTGTGTGTGTGTGGGGGGGGGGGGGGGGGGGGAGAGCAGTCAGTGTGTGTGCATGTGAGAGCAGTCAGTGTGTGTGTGTGTATGTGAGAGCAGTCAGTGTGTGTGTTTCAGTGCAGTCAGTGTGTGTGTGTGAGAGCAGTCAGTGTGTGTGTGGGAGAGCAGTCAGTACGTGTGTGTGTGTGTGTGTGAGAGAGAGCAGTCAGTATGTGTGTGTGTGTAGGAGAGCAGTCAGTCTGTGTGTGTGGGGGGGAGTGCAGTCAGTGTGTGTGTGAGAGAGAGCTCTCAGTGTGTGTGTGAGCAGTCAGTGTGTGTGTTTCAGAGCAGTCAGTGTGTGTGTGTGAGAGCAGTCAGTGTGTGTGTGGGAGAGCAGTCAGTACGTGTGTGTGTGTGTGTGTGTGAGAGAGCAGTCAGTATGTGTGTGTGTGTAGGAGAGCAGTCAGTCTGTTTGTGTGGGGGGGGAGTGCAGTCAGTGTGTGTGTGAGAGAGAGTCAGTGTGTGTGTGAGCAGTCAGTGTGTGTGAGAGAAGTCAGTGTGTGTGTGTGAGAGCAGTCAGTGTGTGTGTGTGAGAGAGAGAGAGCAGTCAATGTGTGTGTGAGAGCAGTCAGTGTGTGTGTGTGTGTGTGAGTGAGAGAGAGCAGTCAGTGAGTGTGTGTGTGTGTGAGGCAGTCAGTATATGTGTGTGAGAGCAGTCTGTGTGTGTGTGTGTGTGTGTGAGCAGTCAGTGTGTGTGTGTGAGAGAGAGAGAGCAGTCAATGTGTGTGTGAGAGCAGTCAGTGTGTGTGTGTGTGTGTGTGTGAGTGAGAGAGAGCAGTCAGTGAGTGTGTGTGTGTGTGAGGCAGTCAGTATATGTGTGTGAGAGCAGTCTGTGTGTGTGTGTGTGTGTGTGTGTGTGTGTGTGGGAGTGCAGTCAGTGTGTTTGTGTGAGAGAGCAACAACAAGATTCCATTTATAGATCGCCTTTGACGTCAGGAGGACGTCCCGAGGCGCTGTACAGTTGGATGCAGATCCGAGCATTGGGGGACATGGTCAGGGTGAGGGGAGGGAAGGGAGGGAGCGAGGAGGGGTTAGAGAGTCGAAAGGGGAGCTGAAGGCTCGGTCAAAGAGAAAGATCTTGAGACCGGCCTTGAAGGAAGAAAAGGAGGAAGCGGCGAAGGCACTGGGGATGGAGTTCCAGAGCCTCGGGGCTGAGAGGCTGAAGGCCCGACCACTGATGGTAGGGCGGTTGGGGCGGGGGATGTGGAGCAGACCGGAGCCAGAGGAACGGAGGGTACAGGCAGGTAAGTAGGGGATTAGTAGGTTGGAGAGGTAGGAGGGAGCGAGGCCGTGAATGGGCTTGTAGGTGAGGATGAGGATCTTGATTTGGATCCTCTGGTGGATGGGGAGCCGGTGGAAGCGAGCAAGGGCGAGGGTGGGAGTGATGTGGTCGCGAAGCCTGGTGCGGTACAGTACCCAACTCATCCCACTTTCCGCTTATTACCCCAATTAGTCCCCCTGCTGTTACCCCAAATATTTCCACTCCCCTGCTCTCACCCCAACCAGTCCCACTCACACAGCTCTTATCTACCAATGTTTCCCCCTCGCGCACACTTACCCCAACTTGCCCCATCACCACCATCCTCGCCCAACTCCACCGGCTTCCCATTACATAGAGGGTACGGTTCAATATCCTGGTCCTCACCTTCAAAGCCCTCCATGGCTTGCTCTCCTCCCCTACCTCTGTGACCTCCTAACCCCCTACCAACCGTCCCCTACTCACCTCCTTCAAGGTCCATCTCAAGACATTCCCCTTCGACCGACGGCGCTTTTGGTCACCCTCCTACCCCCACCTCTCAACCTTCCACTCCTTCGTGATCCCAACGCCCAGCTCGGTCCAAATCCCCAACTCTCTCGGTCTCTCTCTCTCTCACACACTCTGTTTCTCTCAGTCTCTCTCTATCTGCCTCCATCCCTCGGGGCCGAATCCCGGACTGTGCAGTGCCTTGGGACGTCCTCCTGATGTGAAACTCAGCCGCAGTAGAAAATGTTTGTTGTTGTTGTTGCGTTTTCTGAGCGAAACGTGGCAGCCGATGGCGCCCAGCGACGCCCCCACAAACAGCCGGGGGTTGGAGTGACCAAATTATTTTATTATTATTATTCCGAAGGGATTATTACCACTGGAAAGTGATCTGCTGATTCCATTTTGAAGATGGAAGAAAGAAGCTAAGATCCGGGTGATGTTGAGCTGAGCTCCTCCCCCTCCAAGGGGTCAGCGGTAAAACACCTTTATAATAATAATAATAATACTTGCATTTGATATAGCGCTTTTAACGTCGGGAGGACGTTCCAAAGCGCTTCACAGAACACACTGGAAAGTGAAGTGACTGTATATTTGTCGGCGAACGCGGCAGCCAATTGCGCACAGCGATGTCCCACAAACATTGGTGGATTGAAAATGACCGATTTATTATTGCTTTATGTTTTTTGGAGGGATTATTATTAGGCTCTGTGTGGAGTAAGGAAACTTGCCCAAGGATTCGCCCTGACCTGCCTGGGATTGAACTCAGGTCTCTCGCTTGCAAAGCGAGTGCTTTACACACCCTTACAGCCACACTGCCTTCCTTTACCAAGATGGCCGCCACCGTCTCCCTCACTCAGAGGGTATCAGTGTCGTCCCTGACCAAGCTTAGGCTTATACCTTACCAAGATGGCCGCCGCCGACGCGTCACGCACCTTTTCCGGTTCCGGTGGCTTTTGAAAATGGCGGGAGCCGCGGAGATGAGGAGATTCGTCTGAGAGACAGAGAGAGAGAGAGAGGTCAGAGCGAGGGGGAGACAGAAATTAGAGAGAGGGGGAGATGGGGGACTGAGAGACAGAGAGCTGTGGTCAGAGAGAGGGGGGGAGGGGGAGAGAGAGAGCTGAGAGCAGGGTGAGAGACACAGTAACACACAGTCACTACACTACCAGGTCAGGGTGAGAGACACAGTAACACACAGTCACTACACTCCCAGGTCAGGGTGAGAGACACAGTAACACACAGTCACTACACTCCCAGGTCAGGGTGAGAAACACAGTGACACACAGTCACTACACTCCCAGGTCAGGGTGAGAGACACAGTAACACACAGTCACTACACTCCCAGGTCAGGGTGAGAAACACAGTGACACACAGTCACTACACTCCCAGGTCAGGGTGAGAGACACAGTAACACACAGTCACTACACATTCAGGTCAGGGTTAGAGACAGTAACACACAGTCACTACCCTCCCAGGTCAGGGTTAGAGACACAGTAACACACAGTCACTACACTCCCTGGTCAGAGTGAGAGACACAGTAACACACAGTCACTACACTCCCAGGTCAGGGTGAGAGACACAGTAACACACAGTCACTACACTCCCAGGTCAGGTTTGAGACACAGTAACACACAGTCACTACACTCCCAGGTCAGGGTGAGAGACACAGTAACACACAGTCACTACACTCCCAGGTCAGGGTGAGAGACAAAGTGACACACAGTCACTACACTCCCAGGGCAGTATGAGAGTCAAAGTGACACACAGTCACTACACTCCCAGGGCAGGGTGAGAAACACAGTGACACACAATCACTACACTCCCAGGTCAGGGTGAGAGACACAGTAACACACAGTCACTACACTCTCAGGTCAGGGTTAGAGACACAGTAACACACAGTCACTACACTCCCAGGTCAGGGTGAGAGACACAGTAACACACAGTCACTACACTCCCAGGTCAGGGTGAGAGACACAGTAACACACAGTCACTACACTCCCAGGTCAGGGTTAGAGACACAGTAACACACAGTCACTACACTCCCAGGTCAGGTTTGAGACACAGTAACACACAGTCACTACACTCCCAGGTCAGGGTGAGAGACACAGTAACACACAGTCACTACACTCCCAGGTCAGGGTGAGAGACAAAGTGACACACAGTCACTACACTCCCAGGGCAGTGTGAGAGACACAGTGACACACAGTCACTACACTCCCAGGTCAGTGTGAGAGACACAGTAACGACCCCTCACCTCACACCCCACAGTCTCTGTGTCTCACGTTTAGACCCCTCATC